GCAGCAGGGTTGCTCAGCCTGTCACAGCCCTGTCCTATAAAGTTAAGCTATAGTTACCTCACTGTGCCCTATCAAGATTCTTTTAAAAAAAAACTCTTTCGCTCAAAGTTCAAACTCCTTAGGAACTTGTTAAGCCTGCCAGCCGCTCACTAGTACCGTAAGGACTGGCAGCTCCATGAACTGTCCACACTTAGGAGCTATTGAGAGTTGCTGTGCTCACAGTTCAGTGCTTCAGACACAAGACAAACAGAGCCCGTGGCCAACCGAAACCGCGGGCTGCAGAGCCTGTGGGCAGTTACGCAAAGAGGTCCGGCCGAGCCCACGCAGGACAGGCACCAGGGGGGACGCCCACCACAACTGTCCTCGCAGGTAAAGTCGGTCAGGGGTGTTTACCGCATGTGAGAAGTCGGATGTGGCAGGGTGGCCTGTGGACGCCCACACCAGGCCGGGGCATGTTCAGGCCAGTGCAGCTCCACGGCCTTCAGGGTGCACGTCACACACCGGGCTGTGCCTTCATTTTACAACCATCCAGGATGGCTCTGAGGGATCTCATGCCGGCCCTCCCGTCATACGGGGGGACCATGTGGGAACAGGGAGTGGCAGTGCCCTCACTGCCCCAGGGCCGGGCGTACGGGGACGGGCACTGCCCACTGCCCCAGGGCCAGGCATACGGGGACGTGCAGAGGCAGACACAGGCCCCCAACTGGAGTGGGGTGGGATGGAAGCCATTCGGTCACAGACACCTCCTTCCAGGATTACACTAGCTCTGGTTTAAAGCTCACCAACACTGCTGTTCCCCAAACGGACGTGAATAATTAAAGGGGCTCACTTCACTGGCATCTCGGCCCTGCTCTCCACACATAACTAAAATCTGCATGACCAGGAGAAGGACCTGTGAAAACACCCCTCTTAGCACCCTGGGAAAAACTTCACCCCTGGATGCAAATTCAAATTTAGGATAAACAGTTAAACCTCTGGATTATGGTTCTGGCAACAATATCCTTTTTTCAGAATATTTACCCCCAGCAGCTGCAGGAAAGGACAAAGTTAAGCAGGTCTAAACCAACCAGGCAGAGGCTGCGGTCACTCGGGACAGGACGGGCCCGCGGCCAGGGTCGCTGCGTAAACCTCGAAAGAAGCTCACAAAAGCCTCCCTCACCCACTTCTCTCTTACACCACTGCCCTTCTGTGACCGCAGGAGCAACACCCGCCTCACGCGAGTCCCAGGCAGCCGTGCTTCCTTTTAACAAGCCAGCAAGCCTGAGTGGTCCGTTTATCCAAAGTCCCAGCCACTGATGTGCTGTCGCTACAGGCTCTCCTCTAAACACTGAGCCGGGAACGCTCTCCCGGCCAGAAAAACACCACCAGGAAGCCACTGCTGCTTTCTCCTTAAACACGTTTACCGCTCTTGTAAGTCAACCAGCCAGAGAGCAAACGGAGGGCAGTTCAGACGAAAACTCTAGACACAGCAGCACTTGGTTTTAAAGAGCACATGTTAATCTAAACACAATTAATTATTCTTTATGGCAGCACTATGACAGCTTACATAGAACTTGCCTCCTGTAAAAGCTTCGGAAAAAAATTAACAAATTTAAGTTTGTTCGTTTTGCCTGAAAGTATCAGCAACACAAATACCGCTTCCTCTAAAGCAAACACTGTTAATTTCCTTACACCTGGAGGAAAAGTGCTGGCTAATCTGCGCCCTCGGGTTTTGGGAGCCAGGGGGAGCTTATTCGCTTTCACGCTTGGTATCGTAGATTCTGGATTCCCGACTGATAAACGTTTTGCAACTGTCATCATTTTGATCATGATGCTTCTAGCCAGTGATGAAATCATCAGCTTTCAGATCTCTGCCATGACAGATCCTATACAATCATGGGAACCTGACTCGCAGAGGTTCTCACGCCCGCAGAGCCGGTGCGGAATGGGGCATGCTGGCACATGCCTGCGCCTTACCGAGCCAGCCAGCGCTCGGGGAGAGCGCCCCGGCCCCCTGCTTCCTCAAGGGAGGTGAGGAGCGTGCTCGTATCACTGGGGCACACCTGCCCAACCCCCAGCCCAGGGCTGAGCGCATAAACAATTATTTCACGTTTCTGCTTTTAACAAGAGAGGAAATAAGACGCATAGCGTTATGACATGTGTGATGTGCTTGCTTTGACACACGCCTTGCAGCTCTCACAGCAGTGTTGGGGAGGAGGGCACAGGACCCCAGGCTGCAGGGTGCAGCAGGGAGGGAGAAGGCATGGCCTAATTACTAGGTCAAGAGCCAGGGCACCGTGACACTCCCCGGTGGCAGCACTGGGCAGGCTGAGGCTCCTCCTCGACACCCTGTGGATCGGACCAGCGTCAGACGGTAACAGGGCAATGGAGATCTTATTTCTGTCCAAATCCCAGGCTTTCTTCTCACTCTTACACAGAAAGTCTCACGGAGACGTAAGGCCCCAGGCGCCGGCAAAGCCTCTCTCTGCCCAAACCACTCGCTGGTTAATGACGAGGTCTCAGAAAGCACTGGGTGATAAATAAGACACCAACAGAGGCAGTCTGGGGGAGGGAGGACATTGTTCTTTGCGTTTTTAAGAAATATGAATAAACAAGTAGAGAAACCAGTTTGCTGAGAACAAAATCAGATAGCTTTCTTAGACTGTGAGGCATCGGAAATAAAAATGAAAACTCCCACCTCCCGGCGGGCACCCCTCCTCAACCAGCCGGCCCTCGCTTCCAGCAGGTGCACACGGGGATGGTGGGGAGACGCATTCCGAGCGGCTACCTCTTTGTGAAAACAAGGCTCTGAAACTCCTCGCACGTATTTCTCCTTTTTAAAATGCTGCTTTCCAGTGAAGATTTTTTTAACCACTCGTATGTTTAGCACACAACACACACACACCCTGGTGGCATAGTGGTTAAGAGCCACGGCTGCTAACCAAAAGGTCAGCACTTTGAATCCACCAGCCGCTCTTTGGAAATCGTATGGGGCAGCTCTACTCTGTCCTACAGGGTCGCTGTGAGTCAGAATCGACTCAACGGCAACAGGTTTTTTTGGTGTTTAGAAGAGGATTCCCTGGGTGGTACAAATGGTTAAGTGCTCAACTGCTAACCAAAAAAAGGTTGGCGGTTCAAATCTGCCCAGAGGTGCCTCAGAAGAAAGGCCTGGCAATCTGCTTCCTAAAAGTCACAGCGTAGGAAACCCTATGGAGTAGTTCGACTTCACACACATGGGGGCTCCATGAGTCAGAATCAACTCGACAGCAACTAACACCACCACCACCAAATGTTTAGAAGGCAGTGTTTTATGTCTAAAATCTCACAAAGTCTCATTATTTAAAGCAAAATTGTAGCTGAACAGTATTCTGCAATTATTTCCATTTAATCTTTATTTTTAAGATGCTTAAAAATATTTGGAAGCTAAAGACACTTAAGTTTTTTAAGCAAAGTACTCTGCTTGACTCCTTCTCCCCCCAGTAGCCTGCCACCCACACCTTTCTCTGGCACAGCCGCTTCCAGCTGGCCCAGAACAGGTGGCGGCCTGGCTCGGAGGACACCCTCCAGGACTCTTGCCCCTCTGTCCCCAGGATGTGAGACAAAGTGAGAGCCCAGGAGTACAGCAAGGTCTTGAAGGAAACCAGGAGTGGGCAGAGGGAGGATACAGCATCTTGGGGAAGGTATCCAGAAAAGGAAAGTCCAGCCCAGCCCTGTGGATCCCCACGGAGCCAGGGCTCCTGGTGGGTGGGGGGTGGGGGAGCAGCTGGCAACCACCACTGGCTTCTGGGTCCGTACCTGCCACAGGCCGGGCGCCTGCACAGCCCAGGGCCCCCCTCCTGAAAGTTAAAGGCGGTGACAGCTTTATGTCTTGGCCCGACCGTTTCTAAAACAGGTCCTGCTTGCTCTGGTTCACCCTCTCCGATCCCAGCCTCTGACCCCCCACACTGCACCCATCCCCTCAGTCAGGAGGACAGGACCAGCCCGTGAACCTGCTTCTCAGTACTGGGGGGCAGTGGGAACACAGCAGTGGGCAGCTGGGGCACAGTGGCTCACGCGGACAGTCCTCAAACCCGCTGCGTCAACCCCACACGGCACCGCCACCCACCACAATGCAAATGCGTCTCGCCGACAGAGCCGACTGCAGGGCCCGTTTGTCTCTACGGGAGACTCCGGGATGGAGTTTTTAACACCCTGCGTTCTTCCATTCTCATTTACAGAACGCACCAGCAATGGGGTGCGTCAGGCAGGCTAGCTGGGGTGCACTGAACCACGTGCCACACTCCCCTTTCACTGCTGTCCACGCGTGTCTCCTCAGCAGGACACGTGTGCACGCGTGTCTTTGCGAGTGTTCACTGCACTCTCACAGTCCAGGGTTAGAAACAGCCGCTTTCTGCAGAAGCCATGCTCACTGCCCGGGATTTCCCCCACGGCTTCTCCCTGTCACCTCCCTGCAGCATAGCGAGCTGGAGCACACGCACACACAACGCCGGGGTGGGCCGGCTCCAGGGACACAGAGAAGCAGGTTGCGGGGCAGGGGGGCTGGATCTTGACGCTGGTGGGGAGGGGCTCCCAGCCCGCCTGGGACCTGCAGCCTCAGATCACAGCACACAGGTCCCCAAAACTCCAAGCACGGCAGGCTCCTAGAACAAACACCGACACTCAACACCGTTCCTGAGGTCGGACCTGAGCACAGCAGAGCGCCGGGGGCCGGCACCACACAGCGGGGCATTCCACGTACACCTGGCCCCCGCACACCTCGGGGATGGGCGGAGGGGAAGGGCCGTGTTTTCTGCATCTCAGTGACCTCGCTTCAGTTCCCTGGTGACAAAGGCGAAGAAACACCCGCCGTCAGCACAGGGTTCCCGGCACTAACAATCCTGACACTAACAGTCTGCTCCTCTCCAGCAGCTCCCGGTCTCCACGTCAGGCCCTCAGGAGGTGGGCCAGCTCTGATGGAAGCGCTCTGAAAGGGCAGGAAAGGAAACAGCACACATTTCTTTAAAGAAACACTGCTACGCCTGACAAAGCGGGAGTGGGGCCGTGAGCACGCCACCGGGAAGACGGGCGTCTGAAACGGGACCGGAAGATGAGTCTCCTCAAGGAGCGGAAGCCCAAGAAGCCACACTACATCCCCAGGCCACCGGGGAAGCCCTTCAAGTACAAATGCTTCCAGTGCCCCTTCACCTGCAACGAGAAGTCGCACCTGTTCAATCACATGAAGTACGGCCTCTGCAAGAACTCCATCACTCTGGTGTCAGAGCAGGACCGCGTGCCCAAATGCGCCAAGTCCACCTCTGCGGACCCCAAGCAAACGAGCCCAGCAGATGTCACGGCCAAGCCGGCATCCTCCAGGACAGCCACAAACGGACTCGCGAACTTCGACCCCAAGCTGCAGCCCAGCTTTGCCAAAGAAGATGTCAAGGAAAACCCAGGGCTGCACGCACACGTGTCCCACAAGCCACCAACACAGAAGCCAGCTCTGCGTAAGGACGCAGCGCCAAGGAGCCCAGCTCCCGATGCTGGCACCCAGCCTGTCCTGGAGGGCATGGGCCGGCCATCTGCCTTCGTTCCCGTTGGAGAGCACAGACTGAAGGGGCCTGAGCACCCTGAGGTCCCGGAGATGCTGGCGCTGCCGAGCCCCGCCGCCAAAGCTGCCTCTTTTCACACCAAGTCAGCATTCCACGCGCCCGGCTACCCCTGGAAGGCGGGCTCACCCTTCCTCCCGCCCGAGTTCCCACACAAAATACCGTCCACTAAGGCCTTCGGCTCCATCTCCCCCTATGCGCAGCCCCCCCTCCCAGAGTACTCCCCACACTTCTACACAGAACATGGACTGGCCACCATCTACTCTCCCTACCTGCTGCCCGGTACCCCACCTGAGGGCGACAGCCCCCTGCTATCATCGGTCTACGGGGCCCAGGACCAGAGACACTTCCTCCCGCTCCCCGGGCCAGTGCCCAAGCACCTGAACACACCTCCGTCAACATATGACCACTACAGGCTCTTCCAGCAGTACCACACAAGCCTGCCCCTCCCCTGCGGATTTTACAGGCCGGACTCTACCTTCTCCTCCTACGGTCTCAAGCTTCCGCACGTGGCTGGAATTGCACGAGACCACGGCGCCCACCTGCTGGAGGAGACCACCCTGGTCTACCCGGCCCTGAGTCCGTCCAAGTTAGCCCCTCTGAGTTCCCACAAGAAGCACACAGAGTTTGGGAAGGAAAGCCCTGGTCCCCAGGCCAAGGACGCCCCCAAAGATGGGCAGAGGGAAGCGGAGGGGGCCAAGATGAGCCCCCGGGCGGGCAGTGCGGCCACTGGCTCCCCGGGAAGGCCGAGCCCTACCAACTTCACGCAGACGAGCCATACATGCGAGGGCCTGTACGACCTGTCGAGTAAGCCGGCCCCCAGCCCCATGGGGAGACTGCACCTGCCCGAGCAGACCCTCACGGCCTTCAAGCCCGTGAAGAAGTGCACAGACTGCCCAAGTCCACAGACGCTGGCACACAGGGCTGGCTCTCCAGGAAGGTAAGGAAACTCCACAGTCACGTCTTGTGCTAATGGTTGTACTCACACCCCCTCCCATGCTTTACAAAGTAGCTCTAGAATGTTCCTAGGCCAGGTTTCTAGTAAACTTTCTCTTTGTCTCTTCCAGCCTCGAGGCGGCGAACCAAGAACCCCCTTCTCAGACTGGAAGCACCTCTGACAGCGCTGAGGCCGTGCCTCCCGGCCCACAGGACGGCTCCAGTATAGCCCCACTGAACCTTTCCAAAAAGCCAGAGACAAAGCCGGCGCCAGCAGCTCACGGACACGCGTACGGAGACACGCCCCCTGCAGACATGCAGGACTTCCCCGAGCTGCAGGATATGCCCCTCAACCTCTCCGTGAAGGATTCCTGCAACGCCCTGATGCCGAGACCGTCCTTCCACAGCCCTCCGCAAGACGCAGGGCCTGCTGCCACTCACAAGACGGCCACAGACAGCCCCCAGGAGGGGCCACCAGACAGCGAGACGAGCTCCGACGGCCCAGCAGGGGTGCCGGCAACAGCGCCCCCCAGCGGGAGGGCCTCGGACGAGCGCGCGGTGGACAGCAGTGACGAGCAGAAGCAAACAGCCGCGGTAGCCCTCTGCCAGCTGGCTGCCTACAGCCCAGGGAAGGCCAGAGTGGACAGCGAGAAGCACAGTGCCCAGGGGCCCCCTGCTGAGCAGGATGCACCCACGCTCGGTGCCAAGGAGAGCCGGGACGTCCAGAGCAGTGCACTCAGGCCCAAAGGACAAAAGAGGACAGGACAGAAGGACTCAGGGAAGTCCCAGCCAGGAGCAAAGAAAGCCAAGCCCAACGACACGGCCAGGGTGCTCACACTGAGGAGACGGGCCCGGTGCCTCAATGCCTGACCACCACAGTGCTGCCAGATCTCACACTCCGCTCTCACCTGGATCCCTTCATCTTCTCAAAAAAGCTGCCATGCAGCTCGGCTTTTGTAAACATCAAACCAGAAAACCAAACCCAGCGCTGCTGAGTTGATTCTGACTCACGGCCACCCCATGTGTACAGAGTAGAACTGCCCCATAGGGTTTTCTTGGCTGTGAACTTTACAGAAGCAGATCACCAGGCCTTTCTTCCGAGGTTCTGCTGGGAAGGTTCAAACCACCAACCTTTAGGTGAGGAGTCAAGCGCAAACCGCTTGAACGAGTGTCTGTAAATACACCGGAAGGAGTCCTGCTCCAAGGCGAGCAGTTACAGTAACTTCTGCTTTCATTTTCGTAAAATGTCAGATGAGAGGCACAGGATCAAAGAGCCTTCATGTTTGTGTACACCAACCCGTAGGAGATCTTTTACAAATACTTTTCTTATAAATATTTTAGCACCAGAACAAACTGTTTTAACTGTTTTTCTATATAACCTAGCTGTGTGTTTTGAGATAAATAGCAATTACTGAAAACATGCCAGGGAAATTCTTAGGAAGTAGCCTAAATCTGTATGTAAAAACACCGCGATTTAAGTGACTGGAAACAATCCACAAACATCGAGAGGCTATTTATACAAATAATTTATTTCCATCAGGAAAAACGTATCACTGGTGAAGGTATTATCAACATGCCCTATTTGCTTTCAACGCTACAGAGAATTTTCTGATTTACTCAGCCTCATTTCCCACTGCTTAAAATGTCTATATTGCTAATTTCCAATAAACTCCTACGTGAATTCTAAGGACACATGAAATGAAGACAAATATGAACACTGTATCATCCTTCAGAGTATCTGGTCATGTTGCTGTTAGGTGCGGTCTCAATAAAGAAGAGCTTACAGCTGAGGGGGCAATAAAAACACACAGAGAGAGACGTGTGTATGAGAGGTTTGGGGGGTGGAATGTACACGTGTCTTGGGAGGGAGTGCCATGCCAGAAAGCAGACAGACAAAACGTGTGTGAGTGGGACAGTGTGTGTCTCTGTGTATGAGTATCTGGCGGGGGGTGCTGGGCTAGAAAGCAGACAGAATGTGTGTGAGCATGACAGTGTGTGTCTCTGTGTCTGTGTATGAGTAACGGGGTGGGGAGCGTGCTGGGCTACAGAGCAGAGAGAACATGTGTGAGCGTGACAGTGTGTGTCTCTGTGTCTATGTATGAGTATCGGGGTGGGGGTGCTGTGCTAGAAAGCAGACAGAA